AGGGTTAATTCACCAGGTAAAAATAACAATCAGGAAAGTATATATACAAGTAAGAAAACTTCAAAATGTATTTTTTTAAAAAGGGCAAAATTAAAAGACAATTCCACAATCATTAAGCAATAACTCAGCAAATGACACAGACAAAAATCATCAAAGACAGAAATTTGAAATACACTATCAACTGCCTTTACCTTTGTTTATAGCATAGGTACAACCAACAAATACAAATCCTGTGGCTATGCCCAAGTGCTAAACCAATAAAGTCTTAATATATTTCAAAAGAATGAAATCATACAAAGTATGCTATATAAATAAAATAGAATTAGAAATCACTAACAATGAGATATCTAAAATAACCCAAATATTTTGAAATTATACAACATGTATCCAAACAACCAATGGGTCAGAAGAAAGAGAAAGTAGAAGACATTTTCAAATAAAAGGTTAACAAAAATACAAAATATAAAAATGTGTGGTATACAATTAAAGCAATGCTAACAAAAATAGATACCTTTAAATACTTATACTAGAGGAAAAAGAAAATCACTCATCTAAGCTTCTACCTAAATAAGAGAAAATTAAACAGAAAGTAAGCAGAACAAATAAAGACAATCAGAAATCAATTAAATATAAAACAATACTGAAAGAAGAAAAAAAATCTATGAAACAAAGATTTTTGCAAAGATCAATAAAATGGGGGCGCCTAGGTGGCTCAGTCGTCAAGCCTCTGCCTTTGGCTCAGGTCATGATCCCAGGGTCCTGGGATGGAGCCCCACATAGGGCTCCCTGGCTCAGTGGGAAGCCTGCTTTCCCTCTCCCACTGCCCCTGCTTGCATTCCTGTTCTGTCTCTCTGTCAAATAAATAAACAAAATCTTTTTTTTTAAAAAATCAATAAAATTGATAAACCTCTAGCCAAGCTGATCAAGAAACAAAAATATTAGGAATAAAAGAGGTTATACTTCATCACCAGTTCTACAGTTATTAAAAGGAAACTAGAGTTACAACAGAAAACAGTAATCCGAAAATTATTGTTGGGTTATGCCATCGAAAAGAACTCTTGCACAGTATATGTGACTAAGCCCAGTTAAGGCCTCTTTATAAACTTTTAAGACTTGGCAAGTAGGTTCAGGGATCCATTCATCTTGCTGCTGCCCAAGACAAGCCTCAACTATAAGTTTCCTTTGCTTATTAAAAGTGCTATCTTCCAACCTGCAGTGGGCCAGCCCCTTTCACTGGTCTTTCCCTGCCTTCTGTCTGAATACAGGGACCAATTTCAGCTTTGCTTTTCAAAGGCACAATTGAGAGGGGAAAAAATGGCAAGCCACAGAATGTGAGAAAATATTTCCAAAACATGTATCTGACAAAGGGCTTTCCTCCAGAATATGTAAATGGCCCATACAACTCAACTGAGGGCCCCCCCCCCAAAAAAAAAGTTAGAAATGAGCAAAAGATGTGATCAGGTAATTTAGCAAAGAAAGTATACTAAAGGCCAATAGCACATAGAAGATACTGAACATCACTGTCATCAGGAAAATGTAGATAAAACGAAGATGAAAAACCACTACTTACCTACTAGAATGGCTAAAGTTAAAAGAGAGTGACAATACCAGGTACTATCCAAGATGTAGAACTAGGGAAATCAAATGTTGCTAGCTGGAATGTAAAATGCTACAGCCACTATGGAAAACAGGTTGGTAATTAAGCCTATTAACTGCAATGGGACCCAGCATTTCCAAATCCTATATACATGTACCAAGAAAAATGAAAACCTATATCCATACAAAGATAAATGTTCACAGAATTTCATTTATATTTACCTAAAGCTAGATACAACACAAATGTCTAACAACTGATAAATGGAATAACTGTGACAGAATCATTCTATGAAATACTACTTAAAGATTAAAAAGAACACAATATTAATACACACAACATGGATGAGTCTCAAAAATAGCATGCTAAATGAAAGACATCAAAAACAAAAGAATACATTCTGCTTGGATCTAGTTGTGAGGCATTCTAGAAAAGGCAAAACTAGAGAGATAGAAAGCAAATAACTAACTGCCTGGGACCAGGGGGTCAAGCAAGAATGGACATCAGCTGTAAAGGGGGCACAAGGGAACACTGAATGATAGAGATATTCTGTATCCTAATTGTAGTAATGGTTACACAACCTCATATAAACTGCTGAAACACAGCAAGCTTATACACTTAAAATTATGTAAGTTATACCTCAAAAAAGCTGGGGGAAAAAATAATCAGATATTTTTGTGGAGCTAAACAACTTAATTACATAGTTTATTTGGAAAAACCACCAAGAAAGGACAGTCAAGGAAATCCTAAAAGCAAGAACAATGGGAAAGGGTGCCAGAGAGCTACTATATATTAAAATACATTATAAAATCTCTGTAAGTTTATTAGTATGGTAATTAGTTAATAAACAGACTAACAAAATAGACCAGAAAATCCATAAGCGGACAAAATCGCAAATGAAAATTTAGCGTACAATTAAGACAACATCTCAAATTAGTGGAGGAAAAGAGATGTTTTTAACAGTATGTTGTGTTAGGATAATTAGTCATAAGGAAAAAGATGAACTTAGATGTTCCTCACAGTATAAATCAAGGGTGACTTAAATCTCAAATGGATCAGAGATTTAAATTAAAAAACAAAAACCATTCAAGTACTAAAAGAGTATGTTGGTGAATTTTTTTAACACCTGGGAATAAGGAAAAAACCTGTCCTAGAACTCAAAGTAGGAAAAGACTGATAAATTTGACTGCAAAGAAAAGACTTCTACATAGGCAAAAACAAATACACAAAAGCAAAGCAAAACAACAATGTCAAACTGCAACTTGTTGTACTCCAGATAAAGGATAAATACTTCCTACAAAATACAGCTACATAAAACAGAAAAATAAAACAATGGCCCACCCAATAATAGAAAATTAGGCAAGAGATATGAACAGAGGTTTCAAAGAAAAATAGTCTTTAAAATTTAATTTCAAAAAACTCAACTTTAACAATTAAGAAAAATGCAAATTAAAACAACAATAAGCAAAAACAAACAAACAAACACAACAATAAGCACAATTTCTCACCTATCAGATACAAAAAGCCTGCTAACATAAACTCTCTTGGTTAAGACCAAGGGGAAATCAGCAATCCCAAAGGAGCTATATTGAACACTTACCCTTATAAAGGATCCCACTTACACAGCAAAGAATCACTCACTAATAAAAATATGAAAAGACACTTGTACTACTTATTGCAGTAGACAGCATCAAAATTCAAATTTTTGGACAGCATCAAAATTCAAATTTTGATGGACTTCAAAAATATACTGCCAAGAAAGTGAAAATACAAGCCACAGACCTTGAAAACTATTTGCAAATTATGTATCTGGGAAGAGACTGTATCCAGAATGTATAAAGATCTCTGACAACATATACATATATAAAAAACAAGGGCACAGGGTTTGCACAGAATATATACAAACAGCCAATGCGTTCATAAAAAGATGCTAAATATCATCAGTCATTTGACAAATGGAAATAAAAACCATAAGAAGATGCTACTTCACACCCACTATGATGGCTACACTCAAAAACTGAACTATTACAACTTCTGACAAGACATGGAGAAACTGAAACCCTCATAACACTGCTGGCAAGAACGTAAAACCTTATAGCCACTTTGGGAAACAGTTTCTTAAAATGTTAAAAGTAGATTTACCCTACAACTCAGTAATTCCATTCCTGGCTATCTACCCTAGAACTGAAAATCTATGTCCACACAAAACTTGACAACACAAATATTCATGGCAGCATTGTTCGCAATGGCCAAAAAGTGACAACTAAAATGCCCATCAACTAATAAATGAATAAAATGTGGTATATCCATACAATGGAATATTATATAATAAGAAGAACGTATTAAACATGCTATGAATGGATCAACCTTGAAAACAAGCTAAGTGAAAGAAGTCAGTCACAAAAAAACACCTATGCTACCATGTATAGGAAATATCCAGAAAATACAAATATACAGAGACACAAAGTAGAGTAGTACCTGCCAGAGGTTGGGCATGAGGTTTCATTATGGGGAAATGGACATGTCCTAGAATAAGACTATGGTTATGATTGTACAACTCTGAAAATTCACTAAAAGTCACTGAACTGCATAGTTAAAACAGTTGAATTTTATGCTATGTAAAAATTACACTTCCACAAGCTTTTAATTTAAGTAAAGGTAAGCCACAGAAAGGAAAAGTATTTTCAATACATTTTTTAAATTACCAAAATGTATTGTTAAAACTTCCACAAATCGAAAAGAAAAACTAGGTGATGGAAAAACAAAATATACCTTAAAAATACAAAATGACAATTCAGATAAAGAAACTCCACTCATCAATAAACTTATGCTTAAAAATAAACATGATGTGAAGATTAACCTGCCCAGGTAACTATATGAACTGCTTTAAGAAAATGGATGACTCACAGTTCTCCATTTAGATAAGTCTTTTAAAAAATGGTTAGGTTCAGCTGTCCTCAGAGTTCCAATTATAGACAGACTATACTAAGAAAGATTCCTATTATAATTTGCCCATTGTTCCTTGCCTTTTCAGTCTTATAAACCCATCTTACACATCTAATAAAAGCCTTCTTTTATTCCCAGGTACCAACTTAAGACAAAACAAACAAACCAACAAAGAATCATTTTGTTGCCATTTGGTTTTACTTGCTTTTAAATTCTTACACTTAGGATCATCTTTGGCCAATAATCTGTGTCAGAGTAATCTATCTCTTTTAATAAAATACAAGGTGGTTCATACAAGATAATGCAAACAACATTTGCCTTTCCAATCCTCTTTCCTTATGGTGTTTTTTAAAGTAATTAACAAAACAAAGAAAAAAAAGAGCACAATTCATTCTGAGCATAACCAGTAGTAATCAGACCAAAAAACAAGTAGGAAACAAACATGCAAATGTTCACTAACCTTCCAGTAGTCAGATTGTAAACTGTAGTACCTCTGGTATGCAGATAATGCTGAAAGAGGGAAAATAAGTATGAGTTGCAATTATGTCCCACGCCAAATCAATAATACAAGTTTTAAGAAACATCACAATAAGCTTCCCATCATACCCCACCTTCAAACAGAGTGTGATATTTAAGACCAAACAATTTAGAAATCTGGACCCATCCTGTAGTCAGACATAGTAAGTATCAAATATACAGGAGGTTCAAGGATGTAAAACTGTTCACACCTCAGACCTAATCTTGAACAGAATCTAGGTTACCTCTTGAATCAACATGGCCTTCTCACAAAATAGATCTGATAAAAGGATTAAGAATTTCTACTTCGGAATGTGATGAGTTACTTGTTCCCACAAGGGATCTCACTTCTAAGAATGATCAAGAGCTCAACCACCGCAAAGAGCAAAAGGACTATTTCTTTTGTGATGTTTCCTTTCATATAATCAACAAAAAAATCCAGCCCACAATTAACTTACTCCAACTCAATTCCAAAATAGGGAATCCCATACCCCCAAATCCATGAGGCATAAAAGGCTGTGGAAAAAATTATAGTTCCTGTCAATCCAAAAACTCAGTGAGGAGCTTAAAAAACAAAATAAACCGAAAATTACATACACACATTAGAATTGGTAGAATCTTTTTAAAAACCCGTTCAGCAATAAATAAGTCATGGGGATGTAATGGTGTAATGGTGACTGCAGTTAACAATACTGTATTGCATATTTCAAAGTCGCTAAGGGAGTAAATCTTAAAAGCTTTCATCACAAGATAAAAAATTTTTAACTATGTATGGTGATGGATGTAAGTAGACTTACTGTGTTCCTTTTGCAATATATACATTGAATCATTATATTATTCAATGCCTAAAACTAATGTTACATATCAAGTATACCTCAATTTAAAAAAGACTTAAGATTTTTCAAATAAAGATTTCGCAAGTGTAAAATTTTATGTAGATAAAAATGGGGGGAAATGCAAATTAATATTTTCTAGAACTGCGTGTGTAACGCTTTCATAGTGTTTTATCAGTAAACAGCCAAAATACATGTGAATATAAAGCAGAGAACTTTCTAAATATGTTCAAATTAGAGAAGCATTATCCAAAATCATCATCATATATCTGAACAAGTAACTTATTTAAATCATGTTCATCTTTTTTGGCATTAGATGATGCCAACCAACCTATCCTTGGAAGGGCATTTAGAAATATGTCCAGTTTTAGTGAAAAACTGATTACAAACCATCCTGCATTTTCTAGTTCTTCACACGATTGTTGCTAGCTCACAAAGGTCACTGATTAATGGTCTTCTAAAAAGAAAAGCAATCCAACTTATCATTCTACCTGGAAGAGAATAGTCAAACAAGGTTTGTGTCCAGAAACCATCACTGATTTATAAAAGACAGTCATAGGAAAGGTATTCTCCCTCTACTACTGGATGCGAACAAGGAAACCTATATATCACTAAATGCCACCACGAAGGGAACTATTCTTAGTATGAAGCCCACAGAAGATAGGAGAGGAAACAAATGGAAAGTAGCTGGATACTATTAGACCTCAAACTAGGCCTAGTACACAACTCACCTACAAACTTACACTTATGGGAGGCAATCAATTTGCTTATTATTTAAGCTAGAATCAGGTCGTTGCTTTTGTACCAAAATCATCCTAACCAGTAAAAGTCAGGGTTCCTAACAATTTTGTGCACTCACCATATTAAATCTGGACTGCCTTTCAATGATGTTCTGGGATTCCAGCAACCTTGGAAAGCCTGTTTCCAATAACCTACCTAATAATATATATTACATGACTTCATAAAATTACCATTTTAGAATTGGCAGAGCACTTAAAGAGATAGCATGGTGTCCTCCAAAGTAAATGAAACACGAGGTCCAAGAAGCCTATGTGACTATCAGCTGGGAGAAACATAGCATCCGTACTACTATATGGTAAACCAAAAAATAAATACACACTCTCAAATTCAAAGTCAAAAAAGTAAATGCTTCAAAGTGCAAGCACAGATTTGTAAATGAGACATTCCTTCCATGAGCATTTCTTACCTTTCCAATTATACCTTACCCCATTAGGCCTAACATCCTATTTTAAGAAAAAATCTTAACATATTTTATGATTCCTAATTCAAATAAATCATTAGAACTCTAAAGACTATACAAGTACCCATCCCCAGAATCTCTATAGTGAAATCCTTCTAAACAAAGCAAAGTCATTTCAAATCTCTAAGTTAGTCACGTATCCATGAAAAAGAATTCCTGGTTCACTGTAGCTAGACTTTTCTAAGCCCTTAACAGAGAATAAGGGAAATCATTTGTTTGGACATCCTTATAATACTTAAAATCTTTTTCACAATGACTGTAGCATATTATCTTACTAGGCTCTTCCTTCCCTGAATCATCTAACCTTCACTTTGTGATCCCCGGGTTCTCTATTGGTTCAAGAAGTCCTTCATCCTACTACGAAATCTTTTTACCATTACATCAGGCAAGACTGTCCTTTTGCCACTTAACAAAAAATGGTGTGCCCAAACATACTAATATCCACTCTCTATCAACCAAACTCCAAAGCTCAGATTTTTTTTTTTTTTTTTTTTAAGCTCAGATCTTTTTAATCCTGGGAACCAATTTTATTTATGAACAGACCTCAAATTATTTTTTCATAATTTTGAGTTTCATTTTTAAACAAGCGCATTTAGTCTTTTAGATTAAAAAAGAAGAAAAATATAATTTAAAAGAGTATTAAAAAACTGGCAAAGAAGCTGGGTCTAAAAAAAATAAATGCAAAAGGTAACAATGAGAAGTTAAATTTAACTGTTATAACAACTTAAGTGTTATGTAACCTTTCTCACACAATCTCCTTTATTTTGCCCTTTACCTCAGGAAGATAGGAGAAGAGGAGGAAACAAACAAGGAAATTATCAAGGATAAAAAAATGACCTATACAGATGGGAGAGGGTATTACACATAGTCAGCCCTTCTTTAACTTCAAAATTGTGCTATACAGCTTTTCACATATAAAAATGATAAAATAATAATGGTAATACTCAATTACAATAAGGGAAATAGCCAAAAGTGGCAAAATTTTAAGGAAATAGATAGTTTTCTCATTCTACTAGTACTGTAAGCATAAATTAGTAAAATTTTTGCAGCATAATTTAGCAATGTCAAAAGTTTTAATATAGTTAATCCTTGCACAACAGTAGAAAATTCATACATAACTTTCAACTCCTGAAAAACTTGCCTAATAGCCTACTGTTGACTTAAAACCTTACCCACAACAACAAATAGTCGATTAACATATATTTTGTGTGTTACATGTATCATATACTGTAGTCTTATAATAAAGTAAGCCAGGGAAAATAAAATATGACGAAAATTCTAAGAGAAAATACATTTATAGTATTGTAGTGTATTTACTGAAAAAAAAAAATTCCACATTTAAGTGGACCTTTGCAGTTCAAACCCATGTTATTAAAGGATTAACTACACACACACACCTTCGCTCAGTAAGCCCCACCACATCAAAGTATTCCTTCTAAAAACATTAAACATGGATGTGTGCAAAGATTTAGCTACAAGGATGGACAACAGTTAGTACCAAAAAAAGGAAAGAAACAGTCTACACAGGCAATAAAGAATTCTTCTACCTATAAAATAGATACTATATAGGGAATTGAAATGTTACAAAGTGTTTTTCTCAGATGGAGAAATTAACAGGATACACCAGGTTAAAGAAAGTAGCAGAGTTTAATTCAATTTTCAAATGTTGAAAATTTATTGTGATAGAAAAGTCTCTGAAGATTTGCTTCAGAAATGTTTAAAAACAAGTGTCTCTCAATGATAAATACCAATGGGTCTTTAATAAATTCACACAATATTTCTTAAGTATTAAGTGGCTAGCACCATGCCAGATATAATGAAATAGAGATGTGAGCAAACACATGGCTCTGTTCTCAGGCTGTTTACCTTCTATGGTTATTGATCTTTTAATATTTTTCTTTAAACAATGAACGTATTATTCATATAAATGTTAAAATAAGTGTACTTATGTTAAAATTAGGAAATGGTCAACATTATCAAATGAGAACTCCCAGGAAGAAGACGGTAGGGAAAGTAGCAGCTTTAGGTAAACATACATTCTCACCACTTCCTAAAAGACTGTGACATTAAGCCTTTTATTATTTTTTTTTTTTTCATCATGGTAAGTATACTCTTGAATCCCTATCACCCATTTCACCTACCCCCACCCACCTGCCCTCTGGTACCCATCAGTTTGTTCTCTATAATTAAGAGTCTGTTTCTTGGTTAGCCTCTTTTTTGTTCCCTTTACTCGTTTGTTTTATTTCTTAAATTCCACATATGAGTGGAATCATATAGTATTTGTCTTCCACTTATTTTGCTCAGCACTATACTCCTTAGTTCTACCCACGCTATTGCAAATGGCAGGATTTCATTCTTTTTCATGCCTGGATAATATTTCATTGTCTATGTATACCATATCTTCTTTATCCTTTCATCTACTGATGGGACACTTGGGCTGCTTCCATAATTTGGCTACTATAAATATAGTTTGGCTATTGTACATAAGGTTACAATAAACATGGGGATGCATGAATCCCTTTCAATTAGTGTTTTTGTATTTTGGGAGTAAATACCCAGTAGTGCAATTGCTGGGTCATAGGATAGTTCTACTTTTAACTTTTTAAGGAACCTCCATACTGTTCGCTAGAGTCGCTGCACCAGTTTGCACTCCCACCAACCATGAACAAGGGTTCCCTTTTGTCCACCATTCTCACCCACACGTTATTTCTTGTGTTGTTGATTCTGGCCATTCTGTCAGGTGTGAGGTGGGATCTCACTATAGTTCTGATTTACATTTCCCTGATGATGAGTGGACATCCAGCTATATTTTTTTTTAAGATTTTATTTATTTATTTAACACAGAGAGAGAGATCACAAGTAGGTAGAAAGGCAGGCAGAGAGAGAGGGAGGCAGGCTCC